AGGAGCAATGAAACGTTCGGCCTGATTCCGAGCAAGTTCTCGGTCGGCCGAAGCTACAGTATCCGAGCATTACGATAAGCTCGGTTTCCTTGTACGCGCTGACTAGCGTTACCAGACCAGTAAAGCAGAATGTGTTTTCTGTATTCCTGCAAATCAGACTCCCTTTCCCACGACGGTGTCAACAAACCAATCCAATGGGTCAGGTACAAGACAGCTACCACACCACCGCGTACAATTTGGTGTCCTGAAATATTCTCAACATCCAGACGACTAGACTCCGCTAAAATATCATCAGCAGTCAAATTATATGGGGGAGACTTGTTACTATACGAGTGCAAAACATATTTCGACAGATTGGCCGGCATATACTTAGGCAGGTCATCCGTGTCGTATGGGTTGGTACACGGTTTGCACCGCAAGACGGAGACACGGTTGCAGGATTCTGGTCCTAGCATGTCTGACGGCAGGTCCAGGTAGAGAAGTTTGCGCTCCACAGGGTTTCCATCCGGTGAATCCTCCGCTTTGGCCGGGCCAACAGCAAGGATTTTATACGGTCCGGTGTAGTTGAGCGAAAGCTTCGCTTTGAGCACCGAATCATCGGTGTGTTTCCGCACACCCTGCCGAATAGTAGCGGCAGAGTTGTAGACCCAAGCCCAACCACCAACTTCGTATTTCGGGATCTGACGCAGACCGTCCAAACAGTCAGTGCAGAGTTACGACGTTCGACACGCGACACCGTAATCGCATGTTGTTCCCGCACCAACGCGTACGCTCGTCTCTGGCGTTCCACCGCAAGATTGCAGAAAGCGAGCTGGTCTCGATCTAAACTTTGATGACCACCCACGCTAGGGTGGTCCAAAACAGAAAGCGGGAGACGGGGCAACCGTCCAATATGCACTTCATTCGGCGCCAAACCTGTGGCGGTGTTTACCGAGTTGTTGTATGCAAACTCGACATGGGGAAGATGGACGTCCCAATCGTCCTGACGCTCATTGACCACAACAGCAAGCATTTGAGCCATGGTGTGGTTAACACGCTCGGCCCCACCGTTAGTTTGGGGGTGGTACGAGCTGGTGGAGACTTTCTTGATCTTCATCAGCCCGTAAATAGCCATGGACAACTTGGAACAAAATTGCATACCGTTATCCGAAAGAAGGGTCACCGGACAACCCCACAACGCCATGTAGCGGTTGACGAAAATGTTAGCCGTTCCCTTAGCGGTAAATTCCGCCTTGGTAGTGGTATACGTATCCGCCCGTCGACTGAAACGGTCCGTAAACAAAAGTATATATGCATTCCCACGGGACGTGACCGGCAATGGCCCAAAAAAATCGACGCTCACTACAATACCCGGCCCATTCGGGAGGGGCAGAGTGAGCGTAGGCCAGCGATACGTTTGCCGGGAAGTCTTGGCGCGCTTGGCAAATTTAACAATGCCGAAGCCACCAACGAACGGACAAATCCATCCCAATCCACCAGAATTTCGCTCTAACATACGTAAAGTCTGAGCGGTGCCCAGGTGAAAAGACGCGGTGGCGTGACATGCTTGTAGGACCCAAGGTCGCAATAGCATAGGCACGTATATGCGCGGAGTCTTCGACGGCAGGAGGCGAGTGATACGCGCGCCCGAACTACCGAGAGGCAGTGGGGCAGAATTTCGCACCAACAATCGCGTACCATCATCTATGTAGGCATGTTTTAGATGCGAGGGCGACAACATCAGACAACGCCGGCCGTCGCGCACAGGGCAAGCAATCCCAGAATGTATCCGGCAAAACCGCCGGGGATCCCAAAGACAAAAAATGTATAGCCGCTACACACTCACTTTCTGACAGCTGTTCTCGGGCCCAATCGGCATGCGAGAGTGTATGCACACAGTCGCGGAGGTGGGCTTCCTCAGCGGCCGTGGGTGGCACCACGGAAGTCGCAGGGCTAGTACCCGCGGGCGACAACACTGTCGGCATGGGCGCCGCGGGCGGCGGTGGCGCCGGGGTGACGGCTGCAGGTGCGGGCGGCGGCGGCTGCAATTCAGCCGGCGCCGAAGAAGGCAGCGGGCCAGAAGTAGGGCTACCCACGGTTCTCGTAGACCGCGCGGCACGGCTCGACCGGGCCGGCGTTCGAGGAGGTCGCGGCGGTCTGGGCACCACAACGGCCCGTGGTTGTTGCGGAAAATAATTGGGACGGCTGTGAGCCATGCCCGAGGCCGAATTCGTTCTCGCCCGGGTACGAGAAAAAATCAGAGGGCCACGCGAAAGCGACAGGGCAGCTGAGGAGGTTCCGACGGTGGACGAGGGAGCGACGTCTGGCTCCGCCGGAGGAGGTCCATCGGGCACAGAACTCTCGGGGGCTGCATCGCAAACGACAGCGAAAACACCAGGCGGCGAAAATTTCGACGAATCCACTACGGAGGGGAGCGACAGAGCCGGCAGGACCATTTGTGGCCCAAAACGGCGGAAGTCCCCAAAGTCATCCTCCGTCAGAGGCGCGTGTGCCAACGCGTCTCGTTGATCGTCAATGTCAAGCCCACCCAAGCCAATGTTCGGCGTCGAACTAGAGTGATAACTCCGTCCGCACGCACGAATGAGATACACGCCCGCGGCGTCATCGACTGCGATACTGGTGTCACCGCGTCTATCCGCGTCGGTTGCCGGCAGGGGCAACCGCGAAAGAATATCCGCATTGGCGTTGGCAGTGCCTTTGCGGTAGACAAGGGTGTAATTGAACGAGGAAAGGAACTCGAGCCAACGTTGGACGCGGGCGTTGTGTTCACCCACCTTGACGATGCTCTCCAAAGCCTTGTTATCCGAATAAATCAGAAATTGCGTAGACCAAAAATAACCGCGTAAGCGTTTAATTGCCCACACGATACTTCCAGCTTCCAAGTCGAGCACTGTCCAATTGGGCTCGGATTCGAGCGTAGCGCGGCTAACGAACAGAATGGGACGGATTGAACCATCGGCCTGTTCCTGTTCAAGGGCCGCACCAAAACCATCGATGCAGGCGTCACAGCAAAGCCGGAGTGGGCGGCTGCCATCTGCGACAGCGTCCCAATCCGGGAAAGCCGAAACCGGAGGTTCGGACAGTTTCGTCAAGAGTTCTTTGACAGTATCCGCCATAGCCGGCGTAAAACAAAATTTCGCGTCCTTACGCAAAAGGTCTGTGAGTGGTTTCACGCGCATGGCCAGACCCTTGATGAATTGGCGGTAATACGAAAGCCCACCCAGCAAGGAACGCAGCTTTTTGACGTTGTTAGGCAGCGGCATTTTTGTGAGGGCTTCGACATTATCGGCACGAGGACTAACACCCGCAGGGGAGATTGTGTGACCTAAATAAACAGCCTCCTTAGCGCCGACGCGACTCTTGAATAGAGAAAGCTTGAGGTTGAACTTGCGCAAACGCTCCAAAAATAGCCGTATGTTGGCGACATGGTGGATGGGGTCGGCGTCAAACACAATCACATCGTCCAGGTATGCAAGCACATGGTCCAGACCGTTAACCGCTTCGTTGATGACCATGGTGAACCACGACGGTGACACGGAGCTTCCCTGAGGCATGCGAAGCCACTCGAAAAGTTGCGTGGGCGTACAGAACGCCGTAAGCTGAACCGTGTCCTCTTCGACGGTGATTTGGTGGAAAGCGGAGTTAAGATCGAAAATCGAAAATACCTTGCCCTTGTGCAGGGAATCGATGATGTGGTCAACTCGCGGCTGCGGTTGTTGACCAAGGCTGCACAATTTGTTAAGCTTTTTGTAGTTCACGGTCAAACGCAGATTGCCGTCCTTTTTAGGCATGACAACCAGAAGGCTCGCCCACGGCGATTACGAGTGCTGAATAAGACCGGCAGCAAGGTATTGATCGAGAATTGCATCGACCTTTTTCTCCACCAGTGGGTTGAGCCTATAGGGACGCGAGGCCAACGGTTTCGTGCCCGGGGGCACTTCCAAACGAAACGGTTTCACGGAACAGCAACCGAAATCGGACGGTGACCGCGAAAACACATCCGAAAAGTCACACAGCACATCCGCGAGGCTGTCGATGGCTTCCGGGGTCCAACCCGAGTCATGTAAATCAAAAGTCACATCGTGCAAATGTGCAGCCAAACGTTGCCACAACTCGCGAAAACTCACTCGCTGCGCTTCTGAGAGGCGTTCCAACAGATCCGGTGGCGGCGGTTTCGGCGGCAGTGAGGCCGCGGGGGAATCCGAGATCTCCGGATCCGCAACCGGGATGTTTGAATGCAAAGAATTCACGCGAGGCGGCGGTTCATCCGCGGAACGGGCTGGCGGCGGAGGGTCACTCAACCCAACACCCTCGGCCGTCTGCGGTGTAGGATCAATCGACGCAAGCGGAATCTGCACAAGTGGGGCAGTCGCCACTCCCAAGCACCTCACCTGGCTCCAACTCGGCGCACCCTGTCAATGGGATGTTTTGAGGCCCGTCCGAAACAAACGCGTCCGACGCCGAGAGGGCGCCGTGTTTCGGTAAAAACGTGACAAGATAGTTGCCGGTGAGAGCGAGGGTGCCAGAGTTGCGAACGAGGTTCACCCTCGTCAAAGTGGGTTTATCTGAAAGGGAGACACCCTTCCTGCCGGCGTACCGCAGGAAGTAAGATGCCCCGGGGGCGGAGGGTCCAGCGACATACGCGGAAGCTCCCGCCGCAAAATCCGATGACAGAGAAAGTTTCTCCATAATGCGTCCACTTGCCGACCGCGTGGGCAAAGTAGTGGACAAACGAGAGTTAAAACGCATCCAACTATCACGTCCAAGAAGGAGGGCGTGGCCCATGGCAGCAGCTGGGACAACATACACCCACACCGCTAACGAAGCGGTGGCACTATCACCATAAAAAAATTGAACGGACAGCCGCACGGATGAGGTGGTTTCAAGGGCATTGCCAGAGCCAAAACCACCCCACTGCCGAACGGGCACCGAACGACGACTGTGGACGGATGCAGCTCCTGACGCCTCCATGGCTTCAAGGAAAGCATCACTAATGAAAGATGAAGGTGAGCCCGAGTCCAAAAGGGCTACACCAGGCGCTGTACACACGGCTCCGGTACCACTATGAACGCGGACTCGCGTCGTAGAGGTATCGCAATCTACTAAAACATCACCGCTCACCAAATCTGGGCCGTGTTCCGCCAATAGCGGCGGTGGGGAAGCGGCGGCTTCGCGAAAAGCAGCAGAGGCAATATGCAGCACCTGTTTCGAGTGGTCCGCGGGCGTGTTGGCTGGCACGTCCAGCGGGCCGCGCGCGTCCTCGGGCGAGGAATCATTGGCCGAAGAGTCCTCACCCGGGGGCGCAATTTCGTGGATAGTGGGACACACGGGAGCAGGTTGCCCCGAGTGTTCAGGGCGTAAAGGCTTATCGGGTTCGACCGGGCGCACACGCAGAAGCGTGCGCGTCGCAACAAGCGCTTTGCCCAAGAGGTTTTTACCAGTCCACTTGGAGGGCGACGCCGCACGCGGATCGGAGGCATCAACACCAATGCCCCACAATCCGTCATAAGGACTGGCCTCCGCTATCTGTCTATCACCCGTAGCCAACAAACGTTCACGCGCATCAACATTTTGGGCGAATTTTGCATACAAAAGCGAAAAGACAACATCCTCGCGCCGGAGTTCCCATAGAGCATGGTCAAAACCGCGTACCTTGCGACCAAGGGACTTGTGTTCTCTCGGGTCGGAGGTAGCCATGATTTTGGCATAAGCGGCATCATCGTCGAAATTGCGGGCTTTCTCCGCCATCATGAACTGTTCGCCGCACACGTAGCGAATGCCATGAACCGAGAACTCACAGGGCGTCCAGTTAGACAGAAAGGACGGCGGTTTCCAAAAGAGGAAAACCTCATCGTTATAGTATTCCTGGCAACCGTCAAAAACAGGGGCCTGCCGCGCGGGTGCGCTTACCTTCCCCGAAGAAATATCATCAAGAGAAATGGCACCGGCAACCGGCAGGACAATCTGGGTGCCGCCCGAAGGCGGGCCGGATTGTGGGTTACGAGGAGAGGCAGGCAAGAGCGGTGAACCAGCCGCAGAAGCGTGCGAAACCAAGCGGTCTACGCGGGCGTTTTCGCGCAAAACGTCGGCGTAGGCCTGTTCATTAAAAGCGGCCTTCATCGCGGGCGCTCGACCAACATGGTCAGTGGCCGCGGGAGGCTCGGGACCGCTATTTCGTGACAAAGAACATTAACCTTCCGATTTGGGGAAACCATTACTTGCGCTCGGCAACGGCGGTGCAGTCAGCACCGTGCGACGTTGGTGCTCCGTAGAGGAACGTCGCGAGGGGTCCGGAGGGGGCGCGGTGGGTACAAGCGTACTCGAGCCACCGCGGCGGGCCTGCGGTTGTCCCGAAGGTTCCTGTGCTCCAGCGTGGTTGACGAGACCACCCGGAGCCGCCGAAACGGTGGGAGAAGCCGGAGCCATGCCTCCGGGGGGCGTAGACATCCGGGCGAGCGTCTGAGAGACACCCGAAGTCTGGTCGGCCCCTCGCCCACACCACAAGACTGTATTCGGCGCCGACGAGTCACGTCGGTCATCCAAAACAGGCTGTGATGAGGCGTGAGGCGACATCTGGGAAACAAAAGGTTGAGAAACTAACATAGGCGAGCCCGAAGGCGTCTGTGTGATACGAACATCTTGGGAACTAGTCGTACACCGCACACCCGGTGCTGTTGACGGCGATGTGTGCAAAAGGCCGTCACCGGCGTGTCAGTTACCCCGCGTGTGCGGGGTTCCGGAACTTCGAGTGTACGGAGTTCCAGGTACGGCGGCGGGCGCCGGGGTCGCGGCGGCGCCTACGGCCGGCGCCGGAGGTGGTGCGTGTGTAGTTGAGTTACGCTTCCCAGAGCGGCGGCCGTCGCCCTGTGTATGGCCGCTGCTCTTACCCGGGCCATTTTTATTGTGTACACGCGGGCGGTGCGACTTCATGCGGCTTTGCCGACGTTGAAAAACGTGAACGCTATCAGCATGAGAAGCAATGGCCGGGTTTAAGAGGCCGGTGTAATTGGTGAAAGCATACGGGCAAGTTTTGAGGCTGTGGCCTGCCTGCCCGCAGTTGAGACAATGGCCAGAAAATCGCCGCAGAGCTTGCGCTCGGTCGGCAGGGGTCAACAGCGGTGTAAACAAAGGGGGGTCCATGTTAGCCATACTTGCCACAACGCTGTACACAAAGCCGTAGTGACCACGCAACGGCCAGCAGTCGTAGTCCTGCTCGAATGGACATGTGTTATCGGACGGCACAGGGTCGATAGCCATCACCCCGGCGGGAAATTGTGTTCCCGGCGACCACCCGGACGGCTGCAGCGGCGGCGGCGGTGGCGGCCGCTGCTGCCCCACGGTCGCAGTCATGGCTCGTGTGGGCGCCGATGAAAACCCAGAGGTGACAGTGGTAAAATAACGGTCGCCGTTGCAGGCGGGCGAGTGTTTTAGTGCTTCCTCCGACGACAAAGCATCCCAAAGCTCATCCTGATCACTAAACACCACGTTGTGGAGAATCTTCTCTTTCAACGGCAAAGACGAGAGAACATTCGGGTACTGCTCCAACAAAGCGTCCCGAAGCGCACGCTGTACCATGCGCAGATCCGGCGCGAAAGCCCTATGCGAGGCCAACTCCGACATTGCTAACGCCTTAAACTTCGTAACGAATTTGCTGTACGGCGTGCCGTTGGGCACACCAAAATCCTGCAGCTTGTCGATGCCCCGGTTGAAACCTTTCGGTTCCCACTCATCGGCAAGCAGTTTGAGCAGCCGACGGTATGCCGAAGGCCCCGACTTGTCCTTCGTCTCCAAGAAACGTTTCACCTGAGAAAACGAAGAATCCACCAATTCGCGGGTTGCGGCATTGGCGCCTTGAGGGTTCGAAATGGCCATGAGGACACGCTTGTGAAAGGGGGCATACCATCCAGCCACCCATGAGGGCGACTTGATGTTCTGCTGGCCGGAGGGATCGGGGGCCGACAGGATTTCAGCCAACACACTTTCGGTCGAACGAGCGAAGGCAGAAAATTCTGCCGGGGGAAGCGGCACTACCGCATACAATTCGTTCACTTTAAGCTTGCCGTATCCTTTGCGCACGCTGAGGGCGTACGCCTCTGCGGCGGCAACGGCGTTTGCATCAAGCTGTGCCTGCGCGGTGCGTGCACCGGCAGACGACAGGGGCAGTGCCCGGTCATCAGCGGAATCGCTGGCGGCCGCGTGCACGGCCGGCAGCGGTGGCCTCGCTACCGACACCGCGATAGCCGAGACGGGTGGTTCCTGTGGCAAAACACGTTGGGCGAGCGTCGGTACCACCCCAGAAACCTGTGTCGTCTCCGTTTTCACAACGGAGGCGGGGGGCGGTACCTCTGTTTTCACAGCGGCAAATGATGTATGCGATGGCAAAGCGGAGGCTACTGACAGTGGCTCTGACTTTACTAATGGCACGGGCTGTTGTGGCATCACCGGCGGCTGCGGCACCGGTGGCACCGGCGGCACCAGCGGTACCGGCGGCTGCAGCACTGACGGCGGCGGTGCCGGCAGCTGCTGCGCCGCCGGCGGCTGCGGCACCGACGATTGCGGCACCGGCGGCTGCGACACCGACGGCTGCGGTACCTGCGGCATCGGCACCGGCGGCACCGACGGCTGCAGCACCGGCTGCGGTGGCATCTGCAACGGCGGTACCGGCGGCGACGGCCCCGACAGCGGCGACATCGGCGACGGAAGTCTCGACGACGGCACGTCAAAAGCCGCTACCGACGGCGACGCCGTCGCCGACGGTTGCCGCTGCTGGGGAAAACTCGACAAAGACATGCGATGCAATAGCTGTCGTGCACGTTCTAGCTCAGGCTCGGGGTGGTCAACGATGGGTTGGGTCGCTTTGACCGACGTTTCAGCAATGTGAGGCGGCAAAGAACTGACCGGGGGCATGGTGGCCGACAGACATTTGGGCAGAAGCGACAGTAATCGGGTCCTGCATTGTCACCGGCCACTGTTGACCCCCTGGAGCCATGAACGGCGGCTGCAACGGGTACGGGTTTCCAAGCGCATCTACGGCGCACGGCTGCTGGAAAAAAACGGCACATTTTGTCCTGCGATACCATACTGTGCTTGCCTGCTATTAGTCGGACCATAGTAGGAGAGATGAGTGTGCCCGCCACGGTCAGAAGCCTCCCCCCCCCGGCATTCCGGCGGCTACCTCCCCCGTCATTCCGGTGGCTATCCCCGCCGGCACCCGGATGAGCATCCGTGCGTCCGCGGGAGTCATGTCCTCGCGAACGGCCTGCATCCTGCCTGAGGTATTTCTGTGTATGCGGGCGGTCGTGAGTACGAGAGGAATGGTAGGACCCAGCAGACGCAGAAGTGCCCCACCTGGAAGGTTCCGAGGGTTGCCCCCCCATTTGGGAGCGGCGACCCCCCGAGCCCGCCGAACCAGACCTCGAACGTGCAGAAGTGTCCACATCCTCCCTCGGACGAGCGGAGATGCCCACATCCGCCGCCCGCACACTACGCAGATCAATCACCAGCCGCTCAAGCCGCCGACGTTTCTTGGACGACCAAAGGGGGCTGTAAAGCAGACGTCCAGCCGTCTGATCACGCAGAGAAGCTAAATCGAACGAGATCTTGTACACTAGCGCAAGGCCAGCATCCTTCGCTTCAGACGTCGCAAAAATGCTGGTGTTGACGAACTCGATTAATCCGTCAATGGTGAGACCTAAAAGTCTAGTGTCTAGAGAACGAGCCTGGAAATCACCTGCTGCAGAAGACGATGAAGACGAAGAAGACGAGCTGGACGAAGAGGTGCTCGAAGAGGACGAGCTGGACGAGTTTTTGCGAGGTTTACGCCGTTTCCTGACGCGTCCCACTGGTCCACCGGCCGAGATGGTAGTGATCTCTGAGGAACTCCGACTGCGAGTCTCCGTGCCTCCCTCGGTGGGAATCCTGTGGTTTGTTGAGCCCGTCGCCGCTCTTCCTCACCAAGTTTCACACCTCCCTTCCCTAACGTCACTGCGGAAACTGTTTCGCGCTACGATGCCCCCTACGCGACGGCTTTCCTCAACGCAGCGCGACACGCTTGTAAGGGCGTCACGCACAAGGTCAGGGTCAGCTTCGCCCTGTCCCTGGTCCACCGGCAAAGGGAGCTGCTTTAACCTCGACGTCCTGAGCGACTCGGACCGGGGTACTGACGACGGTCGCTCCTATAGCTCGGACAGCTCATCAAGCGATGAGGGCGACGGCGCCCAGGAGGACAGCGACAAGGAGGTGACCGAGGAGGAGGACAGCGACGTGGAGGAGGTCGACGAGGAGGATTCGAGCGGCGGTAGCATGTCGCGGAAGTCCGGGGCAAGGAAGGGGGCGACACGTACTTCCGCCGGTAGGCCTGCAGCCGCATCCGCGAGGAAAGCGAGCAAGCATCCCGGCGCGGCCGCAGACATCTTGAATCTCGCGGAGGATGGCCCTGCAGGGCGCCCTGCTCAGGGAAGCTCTTCTAAGAGCGCCGCAGCAGCAAACAAACATCCCACCTCAAAGCGCGCTGGAGCAGCCGGTGCGCCAGTGGATCTGGCTTCAGACAACAGCAAGAAGAAAGAGGGCAGCGCCGACGGGGGAAAGGGCAAGAAAGGCAAGGCCGACGGGGGCAAGGGCAAGAAAGGCAAGGGCGACGGGAGCAAGGCCAAGAAAGGCAAGGGCAAAGCGGCCAAGGACAAGGGGGACAAGGGGCAAATGCATGCACGGCTGACCGAGAGCCGTGAGGATAAAGCAACGCTAGATGCAATAGCGAAGCGGACTTCGCGCGAGGCCGAGGAGGAGAGGCAGACGGCCTACAAAGCGTCTCTCGAGGCGGAGCGGGTCAGGGGGAGCCGGGCAAAGGCTCTCGAGGCCCGGGCCCACAAAGGGATCGAGGTATGTACGACAGAAGGTTGCCCAACGTTTGTGGCATGCGGCACCAGGGTCCCCTCTATGGCAACCGATCATGCAATAATTTCTCGATATTTCCTCGCGGCCAAGGGGGACGACAGCACGGCTCCCGAACCCTGGATCCCACAATTTTGTCACAGTTGCCTGTATGCCGCGCCATAGTCACGTTGCGCGAAACACGCGATACTAGCCACATTTCCAAGACGCGTACGGCGAAGAAATGTTCACCAACCAACGCCAAGGAATGGTTGGTGAGTTCATTTGTATAGGAGTACTATACCTATATTCCTCTTCATGTACGCGACCAAACGACTTCCCTATTCCACCCCGGACCGTGTTCCGCGTTACCCCTCTTCCCTCTAATGCTTTACACAAACTTCAATTCTCACTTTCGTGGTGTCCGATAGCGATTCCACTTCGACGGATTATTCCCTGCCCCATACCGGACCGTCACAAATCGTTTGAACTCGGGAAACGGCTTCGATGCGAACCGATGACCTTTGGAATGTTTGCGAATTCTCTACGATCGCTACTTGAGTGGTGCGAACACCATACATATTGGTCTTTTCGGGTCCGACACGCCCTACGCCACCTGTGCGTGGAGCATGAATCGGTACTGGATTTCGAGACGTCATCGCAAGCGATGCATTCGTGCATACGGACCAAAACATGTTGGCCAACCCGCGATCATGACACCCGTCAACCCACCCGGCTACCGACAGCGATACATGTGTTTTTGCAGAACTCGACTGTCACTTTCAAATCCAAAATGAATGACATTTCACAAATCCTCTACGCATGGTTTTCAACGTAAGGCGTCATCCGGCACAGCATTTACCATACTTCCCACCGCGCGTCAACTGCATACCTTGCGTGATACTATGCCACAGACCCCGTCGTCGACTGTCACCGCGACGTTCTCCAAAACGATGTCCCCCCCACGGCCTCTTCCCCGTCGACAGGAGGTGAGCAAAATCGTCTATTTTGCCACGCTGACAAGTACGTATATCCCTGTGAATTTTCCGACGTCTTCATCACATCCCACCGCCCATTGATGCCGAACAACCCCATTGCACATATTTCACCCACATCGACATACATGTACGTGCGCATTTGTCGACGCTTTCATCACGACCCACTCAACTCCGTCACCATTCAACCGCCTCCCGCCTCGAATCCGATGCCGTGCATATCCTCCCCGATATCTACTCTTCGTACAGCCTTTCCTGGAAAAGTGGTCGTCCTGGCTGGAGATACGAGACAACTGCCACCCGTCGTACCAAATGGAGGCGAAGCCGAGACCACCGCGGCATCCGTGCTGTCGAGCGCATACTACCGCGACAACGTGGAAATATTTCATCTCAGCAAAACAATGCGCAACAAGGACGACCCCCGATACTCTAAAATGGTCGATGACATAGGTGATGGCGTTTCTGATATTGATGAAGCCGGGTTGATAACTATTACTGGCGTGCGGACTGAAGAAGCTTTGGATGTCGCCATCGATTTCGTTTTTCCTGATGACGTCCTCCAAAATCCCTCTGCTTGTGCCAAGCGCGGCATCATTTCTACCCACAATGATTCCGTCGCTCGTGTCAATGCGGCCGTATTGGCGAGAGTGAATGGTGAAACGTACACCTTGCAAGGTAGAACGATGCTCGATCACAAGCACCTCGACCCAGACGTCGATGATTTCTTCCGTATGTCTCAGTTTTTGAACCAGATGGAGCACAGCGGCGTCCCGTCACACGACATCAACCTCAACGTAGGGGTCGTCGTAATGCTTTGCAGGAATTTGTCCATAGATGACTGCCTCACGAATGGCACGAAAGTTGTTGTTGTCGCGATTCAACCCTTTACGTTAAAACTTCAGACATTGGACCACGGTAAAATGTTCTGGTTGCCACGTATCGCATTCAATTTTGTGACGGATCAGGGGGTAGCGGTCAAGCGCGTCCAGTTTCCCGTACGTTTGTGCTTCTGTTTGACGGTGCATCGGGCGCAAGGACAAACGTTGGACAAAACTTGTATTGACCTCACGCGTCACCCCTTCGCGCACGGGCATTTGTATGTCGGCCTGTCTCGAGTACGCAAGTCTGACGATATCATCATCCTCACTACTAGTGACAGGATCGACGGTGATGTCTTTGCGAAAGTTCACAACGTGGTTTTCAAGAGTTTGCTAGCGGAAGCAGATTAGATTGACCACCTTGCCATGTGGTTCCTGTGATTGTCGATATTTCAATCGTTTACCCCTCAGTGGGGTACGTTGTTCCTTTTTGGTGCGTCCACTGAAGACTTCGGGGCACCTGGCTACAGTCGTTTGTTTCTTGTTTTCACGTTCTCTCTCTCTCTTTTTTTTTCCCCCTTTTATACTAGCGTCGGTAATGACTCCCGTTCGTTTCAGATCCAATTACCCCACCTGTCGAACTTCGGGAGTTTCTTTTATTTCTTCTTCAAAAGGGTACTCCCCTTCTTGGCGTAGTCCCCTTTACCGGGCTCCACGGCATGCACGACGTTGTTCAATGGTTGGTACGCGACGCGGACTAGGATTGACCACCTTCCCATGTCCGTATTGTCGGCGTAGGTAATCCATTCGTTTACTGTCGTATCCGGTATGTATTTCGTAGGCTCGATGGACGGTATCCGGTACGTACATTTTGCGTTTTTCGTAGGCCCGGTGGAGGACTGGGGGGACCCGCCTACGATCGTTTCTTGCTTCTTTCCACTTTTTTTCGACCTTTTTTGGAATCGTTCTATCGTACCAGCGTCGGTAAAGACCCCCGTTCCTTTCTCCTCCCATTGCGTCATTTGTTGAATTTGGCGATGTTGTCCTCGACGTTTTCTTTCATTTTCTTCAAAGCGGTACTCCCCTTTCATGCGTGCCCAAATTTTATTACAACGTTAGTCGACCTCGATGTACGACCAGTACCGAAATTGCGACGTACGGAGAGGAGGCCATAATAACGTCGACTTCATAGCGCCCTGTCACTCGTTCTTACACGCGCTTTATGTGTCGCCGTTTTTCGTGTGCGCGATCCGCCGACATGATCATACTCATCATGATACATGCCTTCCCCGGAGCGCACACCGTAGTTTCCGGGTATTGTTTACCGATAGAGACAACCCCTCGGCATAGACTTTCCAGCAAATATTATTATGTCTACAGGAATGATGCCGTTTCGGAGGTCCAGTCGTCCCAGCATATGGGAACGGTGACGTTCGACAAGAATCAACATCCGCCGTGTTGATCCACCCCAGAACACTTTCGGTTTCAGGTGAAGCCAAAACAGCACGTTGAGAAAGGAAGACAGCGATTCCCACGTGCTCGTTTTTGTCGCCGGAACAATGTCATTCACGCAATTGTGTCGTACCCCTCCCACTTTCATACCGCGTTGTGGATACCGTTCAATTCGACAAACATTGCGCCACCACCGCCACACCGAACGCATTTCCCATGTTCAACCTCTTAACGACAACGTATTTTTCCGCCGACAGCATCTTTACCATCATTCGCCTGACGACCACGGATTGTACCGTACACAACATCTTTACCATCATTCCGGTTCGTACCAAAGACCGATTCGTATTTCGTCAAATACGAAAAAATCATTTGCACCGTATCGACATGCTAATATTTACATCACTTGTGCCCACTGGGCCCTTTACACATACGCCATTATACCGTCACAGACATCTCCATCCATCGCCATTGTCATGCAAATTATGTTGTTCTTCCTGCATGCAACCTTCGCACTGTGGCTGAGACCCTGCTTTTCGATTACCTTCTGCATGTTTCCCACCATGGTCCTCTTCCAAATGGGCAGCACGACTGCCTCAAACTGTTCCCCTGACAACCCTTGGACGCCATGACCGCCAGTATCCATAATCTCGAAAGATGCGCCCTCTCTTGCCAAATACTCAATAATTCGTGCATATCTGTCTTTGTCACGTTTGTGTGCCTTCCCCAAACTTTCACACATTTTCAACAACGCTGTCCTCCCCTGTGAATCGACCGCATCGACCATTGCGCCACCTTCAATCAACACCTTGCACATTTCCAATGTGAGAGCGTGCATCAAAGGTGTGTCCCCAATACCATCTATCCGATCATTCGCGTCCACACCACGTGCCAGCAATACCCGCGCAATTGAATCGTTCCTCGCCCAATGGATGCTACTCCGTCCAGTATTTGTGCGGGAAAAAGGGCACGCTCCATTAGCGAACAATACAGACGCAACACCGACATTTGATGCCATGTGGAGGGGTTTCAAACCCATTTCGTTCTTCGCGTTTACATCACCACCACCAGCAATGAACATCACCGCGACTACAGGATCCTTCACAACATGTAACGGATGGTCCCCTGTACCATCACCCGACGTCGGCTTCATTCCGTCCATGATTAACCTTGCGGCAACTTTTGCATTTACCACATTATGCAATGGCGTCGTTCCCGCATCCAACGCCCCCGCGAAGAAAGCCATCGAGCCGATCACTTCCGTGCCATGACGGAGAACGTCGACAAAAAACGACATGCGTCGAAAATATATCTACCGCCACGTCGTACAAGTGTTGGCGGAGGGATGCAACTATGGTGCTGTGTGCATATCAACGTGGTTCTACCGCCTTTGCGTTTTTCGGTATCGAACCACTACGAATGGGACAAGTTCAATAATAATATGAATAATAAGTGTCCATCGATTGTCACACAAACATTACACACCCATGACGAGTGACAACAAGAGTCTTACACGCGATGCAATACCACCTTAATCCGATGCCGGAATGCACCATGGCGACCACGGGTCTGGCATACGTCCAAACGTACTTACCTCAACGCCGTTCATCGCCTTCGCCGCATGGACAACAACTACAATAAAGCCCAACAATGGACATGCCCGTCCACATATAATCCTCCCATAACTACAAAGGATCGAAAATAACCAACCAACACACTTCTACTCCTCTTCTGTACGTTGAACACCCCTATGCATGCGCGTATGCATACACATGCAGACATTTCTCACCCGATTTCCCTCGAATCGCTCATAGCCTCTTCTTCCGCCAGCCTGCAACCTTCCACGACCGTCATGGGAACTTCAACCCACGTTCCCAACACGTGCAACGGTTCAGTGTTCATACGTGAGACCGCCACGCCACCTGAATTCAGCAAACGCGCCGGATTACGATTGCAAGCATGCTTCCATACACACACACGGAATGTCGATTGCATTACCCTTCTGTCTCGACCACCGACTCACCCCCTTCAATTACCCCATGTATAATCTACAGATCTGCGATACATACATCACAAATCTTCCGCATTCACATGTAGGTTGACCTACGCCGTCACCTGTTTCTTTTCGGAATCCCCGACCGTGCACCAAACTCCTTGGCTCAGTCACCTATCTTCCGTTCTCCCGTCGCGATCCGTGCAATTCTCGAAACTCACAACTGCGAAAGAACCCCTGTCCTCGTTGTGCCCGATCACATTTTTCATCAACAAAGGCAACCTCCCGTTTCAATAGGTTCAATGCCGGGCGTGTCCAAAGTTAGATTTCAAGGTTCCTAT